GGGGGGGGGGGGGGGGGCACGGTAGAATGTAGAATGTGCGAAAAGGCGAGCGCGTGAGCAGGAACGAACGTTGTATAGGAGCGGACACGTGCGGTGTCGGGATATCGGTTCGGCACACCCGGTTCGTCGGTCGTTTTGCTGTTTATACCATACCGTCCTGTTGTTTAGACGCTCTTTTCGTCGTTTGACATCCGTGAGCCCGCGTTTGTTATTATCGTCCCAGCTTGGTGGAGTGCGAAAATTGCGCCGCCACCCTGGTTCGCAACGCTCTCTTCGATGTTGCATGATACCGTGCCGCCTCTAACCTTCGTGTCTTTGCTCGATATCTTCACCGTNCCCCCTCCCTCCCTTTGGTTCACGCCGGTCACCTCGGTTGTGTTTCTCTCATTCTGTGGTTCTGGCTAACCAACAAACGGGAAAATGCCGGATGACAAAAACAAAAACAGGCTTCTGGCGCTCCTCGCCCTGGCGTTTCGCTCGCACCAGTTCTACTTCTCCCACGTGCACGACGTGACCCAGACCCTGCAGACGCTCCGTGTCTCCTCCTCCTCCAACTCAACGCCGGCGACCCCGCCGCCATCAGCGAAGCGTTCTTCCGCGGCCTCCGTTTCCGGCGGGGCTCTGTCAAGCGGCAGCGGCGCGCGGAGGAAAGTAAAGACGAAGCGACAACCAGTTTCGGTGTCGAAGGACCCGAAGAAGAAGAGTACCCGCGCCGGCCGCACCGCCACGGCGGGGGCGCGCGCCGACGACGACCGGCGCCGGCGAAACGAGGGGGAAGCGCGGCGGCAAGGATCACCCGCCACCCCGCCCACGGCAGTAGCGCCGCCCCCAGACCAACGATTCTTTTGGAACTTGGGGGTCTTGGAGCCGCTGCTCGAGCTCCGGGAAGAGCTGGAAGGGCGGCGGAATAGCGGCGGCGACGGGGGTGGTGCGACGGTGGCGGCCGTGGACCGGTGGCTGACGCCGGTGATGAGCGGGTTCCTGCAGGTGGAGCGGGGCTGCCGCGCCGGGGAGCGGAGCTTCGACGTGATGTTCGTCTCGAGGCGGAGTCGGCTGAGGCAGGGCACGAGGTACACGCGCCGCGGCATCGACGACGGGGGGAACGTGGCCAACTTCGTGGAGACCGAGCAGGTGGGTACGAGAGAGGGGGCACACGACTGGCGGGGGAGGGGGGATTAGGGAGGCGAAGAGGATTTAAGTGGCTCAGTTTTGGTGTGCAGGTTTTTGTGAATCGTTTGGTGGAGAACCTCGCATCCGTCGAACCTATGGCAGAAAAAGCGGGGGGGGGGGGG